CTTGAAATACAGGGGCATTTCTACGTTGAATAAATTACGCCTTCTTGTGGAAGCCGCGCACGTGGTGTTAATTTGGAGGCAGCGGCACGATTGCTGGAGGCGGGCAGTTGCTGCTAGCGCCACTGGTGGAAGGGCTAAGAGGGCGCACTCAGCCCTTCCACCAATGACGACAACGTTGGCGACGACCGCCCGCCCCCAGCAAATGTCAACTGAGTTCAACGCCTTCGGCGCCATTTCTGCAAAGCGTGAGAAACATACCACACCCAGTAATTCCAAATAAACCCACATTTTGCTTCTTCATAACGAAATCAGTAGGTGGACGGTGCTTCTCTCCAGAATCCGCAGAGTAGACAGTGGCGTGACCATGAGGGTCCAACTTCATGCGTGTGTTGAACTGATAGGTGACCTGAACAAAAAAACGATACAAGAAAGTGAACCAGTAGGCCCAAATGACTGGGACAGAGACCGTCCTTTTTCAGTGATAATGATCGCCTCATAACTCACTTCTTTTCCACCAGCACGAACGAGCAGTTTCCAGTGAGCAATGCTAACTTCTTCATCGGTGTTGTTGCTAATACGCACCCACTGGCCGTTAGGATCAATCTCTTCGATTCCCACTGGACCATCGACGTGCCTCTGCATCTGAAACCAAGAAAACCACTAGACTTATTACTTATCCTGAGAATGGAAGAAAGTGACCTCATATCCATTCGATGCTCTACTCACTCTCTGCTTAAGTCGGTGGAAATCCAATTCATCACCGTTGCCGTCCCACTCGATTCTGGCTCTCTTCACTCCACCGCGCTGAGCACTCCCTAAAAACGAGCGTTGAGCACTGCCTGAAAACAAAGTTAAAATGTTTAACACTGACATAAATAGCATAGAGGGTGTAACAAAGAGGGGAGGGAGCGTAGGTGTGGAGCGCTACTTCCGAGTCGCGGCAAAATACGCGTGAACTTACGCGGCATTCGCACCAGGACCCATTCCATTCAGCGTGGTAGGGTTGCGATGCGTCGACCCTTTCGAGTTTCTGTCGGCGTATCTCAAATCGTCTCGCGACGTCGCGTCTCGGAAGTGACGCTGCATACCAGGGAGCGAACACGAGACTAAATGTTGCCGCTTTTCTGAGCGACCTAGTCTCGCAGCGTGCTCCCCCCTCCCCCTCTAGCAACTCCCACTGAAGAAAGCAGTCAGTTACATTGAACGCCACTCGCGTTTAATGTCTAGCCGAATTATCTAGAAAAACTTACCACCGGACGAGAAAGAGACATGATGCGACATACTGTTGTCACGCGACTGACCACCAGCACCAGAACCAGAAATGTTCAGGCGAGTTTCCTCAGACTGAAATCAAACAGATACAATCTTTATCAGAGGGTTTTCTGACTTAAAGTTACAGGGCCATTCATATGAGTTTAATTAGACTATTTTCTCTATTATTATTATTCTGGAATTTAAAGCGCACCATGTATAGGATGCAGCTTCGCTTCAACTGCTAATGGGGTATATGACAAAACAATATTAAGGCACAGTTTGTCGACCGGGGGGGGGGCATCCTGCTTTCTATAGATGTGCCAACCATCAAGTTTTTTGAAATGCGCGTTCCGCGACAATCACATGGACGGAGACACGCAATCACTGTAAGTTCCACTTCGGTGCCCCCCTTTTCCCCGTGTTACTAGTGAGGGACGCGGATTAGAATGACACCCTAAGTTACCTGACTTAAAGTTACAGGGCCATTCATATG